GCCCTGCTGGTGTCTTCGAACTGCCAACCATGTGGATCGCAGGCTAAGTTGTAAAAGCATGACACTACCACCAGGGCTCCTGTTTGTCAGTAGCGTCCATGTTGGGAGTGGGCCCCGAATCAAAGTCAGTGAGAAACCACCAGAAACTAGATTTAAAGTGAAAATGCCAGGGAGTGCCGAAGATCAAGACCTGGAGAGCTCACAAGGCTCAAAGCCAGCCGTGTGCCTGCCCTCCCAGGCTCCCTAGTGCCGAAAAGGGACTCTTCCCCATGACCCCTGCTTAGGGTGTAGTTAGGAAATGAAATGCACATGTAGATGCCGGCAGCACTCTGTCTCACGCAGCTAAGTCTGGAGGAGAGAAGGGTTAAAATGATGGGCGGCGAGTCCTCCTTGGTGTAGGGGTGGGGTCTAGTTGCCCCCTGAAGTGTATGCGCGCTTCTTTCTGCTGATCATCGTCTTGAGAATGAAGATGTCATCCCTGATGCTGGGCTTCACTCTGTCTCTGAGAGAACAACTTCAAGGCTTGAAAACACTGTATTAGTTATTGGGAGCTAATACATATATCATTCCATAGTTGAATCACATCAAGCAGAATTGAAACTATATGGTTAGTGTACTTTCCTCTATTTTATAAAAATACAAGACCAAGTTATAAAAGTTAATGGAAATTAATTCTTACAAACCTTCATATTCCTTATATCGTAATCCTTCCCTTATCATGAGCACATTCGCTCCTTTCCAAACAATTTACTTCAAGTTTCTTTTATCATCTTTTATATTCCATCATAATCAGACATCCTATTATCAGACAGAATGACCTTTTTTTCCCTATCCTACTCTTACTATCTTCAGTTTACTCTGACCTTCTGCAACGTATTATATCCATCTAAATTCCTTCTCCCTTTCTTCCAGCTAATTTATATATTAGACGTTAAAACCGTCGCTGAATCTGAAAATTCCATCACTTTTTGCTCAACCTCAGCACAGGGTTAAGCTGTTTTAGGGGAACTCCCTCTTCTCCCTCTGGCTCTCAAGAAACAGGGTCCAAGGCTAAAGCAGCCCCTGGGAAGGCAGACAAGGCAAATGCCTTCTTCAGCGTTTACTCTATGCACATGCATATCTGAACCAGCTCCCGCAAAGCAGTGTGGGGAAAAGCTTGTACACAAAGAATTTCATCTTGTTTACTTAACCTTCTGTGAAACAATTCTAACTGTAAGCTAGTATGATAATTTAGAGAACAACTGAGGGGCCATTTCTCCCTTGAATCCAGACTGTACAAAGGCCAAGTGTTATTACAGCAAACACATCATATTCTTCCCAGTCAAAGGTTTATAAACATAGGAAGGCCAGCTGGGCAGTGGGATTCTCTATGGAATGGACCATTCAGAACCCCTTATAAACTACTGGACTTACAGAATACAGAAGATTTACTGAACAGAAGATGCCCGGGTAGGCTTTTCTCCCAGACAGTTTGGAACAATCAATGTACAGATTACAGATGAGAGAACTCCCAGGCACAGTTTACATATTTTGGGAATGCAGAGGAGAGACCTCTGGGGCAGAGCCACAGTTAGGAGTGATCTGACTCACAGATGAGCGGACTCTCGGGTACAGATAATAGACGAGATCTCACCGATGCAGTTAGGGATTGTCAGCCCGATGAGCTGCAACTTTCAGGGAGGTAAGTCACAGTATGCAGATATGGCTAAATCAGAGAGTGAATTCTCAAGTGGCGGGCAGCAGCTTGCCCCGAGCTCTGGAAAGAAAAAGACCTTAGCTAGAGGTCTCCGGTATGCCCACTCATGGCCCCTCTAATCCTGGCAATTTCTGTCCCCTCACCAACAAAGATAGTTCCCCACACGGGGTTTCTCAGCTTACCGTAAGGCCTCTGCAAAGTCTGAACTCCGTGACTGACAAAATGATGCCGACTGATAGGGCCGGGATGCTTGTCACTGTTCTTGGTTGATTCACGAAATTCCTGCGACAGAAGGAAGCTGTGGGGTGGAAACCTCGCAAAAACGACTTCAAAAGTTCAGTAAAAGGCAAGCAAGTTGTATACCCTCAAGTTGAAGCAAGTTGAAGAGATGTTGAACCGCTATTACAATGAACAGATACTTTAGGGGACAGAAGAGGCATGCAGGAGGCAGCCTGTCACTCCCTCAAGGTCTCAGGCTCCACTCCTTATCTAAAAGGCCTTGCTTTGCCCAGATGGTTTTGTTCATCCCAAACTTGCTGAATTAGAACATTTTTAAGTTTCAAAGGGAATTTTACTGAAAGGAGGGGGATTGAGTTGGCTGTGATATTTGGATTTTTCTGCAAACTAAGTCTTAAACAGATCAGATCTCAAACTATGTCTGATTTAAGCATTGATTAACATCAGGTTAACTCTATTTCCCGCCCTGTATCAACATGACTGCCTACACAGTCTTCTTCCATCAGCAGCCACCCAAGGCTGGAGTGCTCACAAGTTAGGACTCTACCAATAGGTAGATGCCAGCCCCCTTGGCTTCACGGCCCAGAAGCGAGGATGGGGAGACTTTATCTCACAGACTTTGAACGTGTTACGGGAGGGACCAGTCCTCAGAGATAACATCATACTTGGTAAACCCATTCAACTCACTGCCATCGAGTTTAGTTTTCCTGTGGTTTTGAGACTAGGTGTTTATGGGAATAGAAAGCCCAGTCTTTCTCCCAAGGAGCTGCTGGTGATTTTGAACTGCCAACCCCTTCGGATAGCAGCCCAACGCATAACCACGACACCACCGGGGCTCCTTTGTTTGGTAAAGTAGAGGGTTATGGAAAAAGAGGAAGGCCTTCAAGGAGATGGATTGACCTAATGGCTGCAACAATGAGTTCAAGACCAGGTGGAATTTAATTTTCTTGTGCAGAGGGTCGCTGTGTGTTGGAAGCAAGCCAAAGGCATCTAACTACAACATTTCCAAGAACTAGCGACAAGACCAAATATTTCTTACTCATACCCACCAACCGGGTGTTTGCAAGTTCTATTCCTCCAAAAAGGAGCCTGATGGCATAGTGGTTATGAGTTGGGCTTCCATCTGCAAAGTCAGCCATTCAAAACCACTAGCCACTATGCAGGACAGAGACTGGGCTACTTCCGTGAAGAGTCGCAGAAACTCACAGGGGCAGTTCTACCCTCTTCTATCAGAGATCACTATGAGTTGGCACTGATTTGAGTTTGTTTTTTTCTTTTTATTTATTTTTGGTTGTTCCCCCAAATCCTGGCCAACCAACCCAAGGTTGTTAAAACATTTTCATTTTTATCAAGTCTGATAGATTTTTATATACTGTAGTAGAATGTGGGGGGTGCCAGCCCCTCACCACAACCCACGGGTTCAGTAAGCACAATTGTACGATTGAGATATACAGTGAACCCTCGTTTATCGCGGTTAGTCGGTTCTAGACCCTACCGTGATAAATGAAATTCCGCGAAGTAGGATTACTTATTTGTAAATCAAATATTTTCGTAGTTAGAGCATAGAGGACATGAAAAAACACCCTTTAGTCACCATTACACTCGTATTACCCAATTTATTAAACGAAAAAGGGAAAATACAGTAAAACATTTTGGATGTTACAATTATCATTTATTATATATTATATTATTTATGGCATCTAGTTTACAGTATTACATATTTCACATACAGTATTATTATACATAGTTCTTACAAATACTGTAATCAATGGCGTGCAACCTCCACGATTTTCTTGCCATCTTTGATCATATCCAAAAGTTTTACCTTTTCCTGGATGGTGAGCATCTTCCTCTGGCGCTTATTTTTATTGTCAGAAGGCTTAGAAGAAGCAGCTCGTTTAGGAGCCATCATAGGGCTTAGATAAAATTTCTTTAAAATTGCAAACAATTATAGTACACTGTACAAAAGCAAAAATGCATCTGATACGTAGCTCCGATATGTAGCGATGCAGACAGAAGCGTGTACAGTATGAGCCAATCAGTGGCAGTAATGACAGAGCATGCGCTGTTACGCAAAAACCGCGCGGAAGTTGAAGCGCGAAGTGACGAGGGTTCACTGTATAAGTATTCTATTAAAGTAATAGAGAGTATGAGCGATAGAAGCGATATTACAATAATGCAGTCAGACACATTACATGGTAGCATTGCTCACCTCAGCCCCGCTTGGTGGTCCACGTGGAGAGAGGGGGAAGGGAAGGAGGACTGGAAAGGGAACAAGGGAGAGAGGATAGGAGGGGCGAGGAGAGGGGGAAGAGAGGACAGCGAGAGGGGCCAGGGGGAGAGACCTATTGCTAACCCAGGCCTATCTACCTTTTGGGGGCTTGCAAGCCCACTAATTACAGGTAAAGTCATATGTCACAGGAAGGGGTTGCACTATAGGTTATACAGCAGTGAGATGGGGTAGGTAGTCTAGGGACATCCACGCAATAGGAAGAGGAGGGTTTGGGGTATACATGTGATGAGATGGGTGGATCCTAGATTTAGGATGGCAGCTTAACTTTGACCTGTTCTCTGGGTCTCCCTAGGAACCATTATCAGTAGGGTGTAAACCCCACCTACAAGAACCAAATAGATGACTGCAGGCCTATCTATTGTCTTTAAGAGCAGGGAGTTGGGGGGGCCCACTGCAGTCTAGCAACTGATCGCCCTCAGGGAGGATGCCTGCAAGCATCTGACCTCCCCCCACAAAATACCTCTGATTTAGAAAAGTCTAACTGTAGTTTTAATTTGCTTATACTCACCCCCTCGCTGTTAAAAGCCCACTATAATCAATTTATTTATCCTTGAAATCTCAGATTTAAAGTCCATTCCCTTACAGAATTTTCCCTTCACTAACCACTAATTGTTTCATGTAAACAATTCTACCCGGCTTTGAATTTTCACCACAGTAGATGGCAAGTTCCTTGGAGTCGAGGGCTGATTTTCTTTACAGAAACATATATGTCGAGCTAAATAAGAAGTTGAGAGATGAACAACAACAACAACACAAAGAATTTGCGAGATCAGATTAAACAAGCTCCTCATTTTATAAATAACAGGATTACCAAGCATTTGAAGGAGGGACAGTTCACGAAGGCCCTTCCTAGACCTTTCACATTTGTTATAGCAAGTCCTCCCACTAGTAGGTCCAAGCCCACAATTCCCTACCCTTATCCCATTCCACTACATCCCAGCTGCCTTTTCTTTTCTGCATCGCATTAGCTGCACAATCACATTTTGGTAAATGACTGCAAAAAAAGAAGAAGAAAAAAAGTCGAGTGTAGACACAACTTAAACATCTGAAATTATATAAAGCAAACATGCTGCCAGCCGCGGGTACACAGCGCTACATACACTCTCTCCCTTCCTTTGGGGTGGTGGGCAGCTTTCGGGTCAGCGACGCTCTTTCCCTGCTGGTAGCACCTCGCCCGTAGCAGGCGCGGCGCGGTCCTAAGGGAAACGAGACTGCACGGCCCCTTTAAGGCTGCGGGCGGCGCGTGCCCACAGCCCTTTCAAATGGACCAATCGGAGGGCGATGGGCAGTCAGTGGCGGACCAATAGACAACGAGGACACTGCGGGGTGTGCGGCGGCCCAAGCGGTTTTAAACGGCTTAGAGCAGGCCCCTCGGTTCGGACCCGGCTGAGGTGAGTGGGCGTTGGTCCCGACCCACCAGCACAGGCCCGCCGGTCCCGGC